AAACTGTAGCTCGTCCTGTTCAGCTAAAAATCAAATGATACGCAAGCAGATGGGTCTGCATCTGCAGGTAAACTTTCTCACCCAGCGCTGCCTTTTGACACAAGACCTGATCTTGATCTCCATGCCGACATTTAGCATACCCTTCAAAGTATTTTTACCAGCTATATGAGTAAGTAAATGAGTACATCAAATTTGAGGTAGTCAACTTTGCAACCTATAGCTTCATGGTTAATGTAAAGTATATATGTGTAAAATATGCAGAATATTATACATATATATGTATGAAATTTGTATTTCTATTTGAACTGTTCAAATTGAACATGTGCTTTTTTTACAAATTCCTAATTTATAAGTATTATATATAAGATATGAAAGCAGAGAATAAAAGTGCATGAATATTTTATGGGTTTTATGTTTGTTTGAGAATTTTTTTAAACTTTCCCACCCAAGGCTTGACGCCCTCTACAGTGCCCACGCGATGTCTAATGTCATATGTATGATATGTCAACAGCTGGATATGCGCAGTGCATGAGTACTCGTAGCTACAATACGGATTATTCCTATTAATTGATTTATTAATTAATTAAGGTTGTGCAGATAGAAATTTTGATTGTGCAATTAAGTTTGGACAATTTGCAGTTTATTAAAACTGTGTGCAGTTGCAAATATGCCTTTGTTGCCGAGATATCACTATTTCCAACTGCGTCCTGCAAATCGCAAATATTTTTTTATTTTTTATGCAAAATTGAGGCATGTGCAAATCCAATTATTTGCCTAAACGAAATGTGCAGATAAAACCACGTCGCCTAGTATTTTTTTTATTGCATAAGTCGATAATTTGCGAGCCAGCTTCCAGGTGTTCTAAAAAGGTATAGGTATACAGGCGATACGCATATCGCTCATATATAAGGACTTGGCGCTTGTCCGCGTAATCCAAATACGGATGATACAGTGTTATCTCTTATTATTTTAATGTGTAAAAATTGTTAAGGAGTTCACGAAACGTAAATGATTGTTAACAATAAACTAATATTTTTACATTAAGTAATGATGCTTACAACAAAAATATTGAGAAACTTCCCATTCACTAAGAATATTGAATTTCATCATCCATCAAATGTTGTTGGTTCAAGGAATTTTTATAAATGGTTAATAATCATGTTCAATGGGTGAGAAAATATTAAAAAATGCCTCTGTACAAGTTTAACCTTGATTCTTATCAGTTTCAAGTTATTTTTGTTATTTTTTAGAGTTAATAAAAAAAGAGTTGATGAGGTAGGACCTGATCGTGCTTGTGCTGAATGGCTGCTAAAAAATGGAGCTAGTATCAAGTGGCTAGGTTGTGCTGACTACCTAAGGGATTATAATTCGTTGCCAAAAGAAGATGTGAATGTGAAGCTATGTATTGAAGCAGTTGATGCTACCGATTCAGCAATTCATCACATTGGATTCCAGCACTTCAGTTAGTAATATTATTATTTTCTCACTCTAGTTTGATTGATTTGCATATTGTTGTTAAAGTATAATTCAAGGTGGTTGCAAACATGTTGAAAAAATAAAGCTGGTGAGGTGTTCCTACATTGAAAATGAGGCTTTGTCTCTTCTATCCATCATCAAAGATTCACTGATACATTTAGAAGTGGTGGAATGTAAAAATATAACTGATGAGGCACTAGCTGACTTGAAAAATCTGACGTATGTATTAATTAATAAACCAAAAAATAATTGTAAAGTGATACTATTTTCTTACTTACAGACACTTGAAAACTCTAAAACTAGGTGGTATGCCTTATGTTAAAGACAAATCTCGGATCTTACAAGAATTGACTGCTGCCTTACCAAATTGTAAAATAATTTATATGTAAATGCTTTTGCAACAATATTCTTTATATTTAAATTTTTTTGTT